CAGTTTGCTAACAATGGACTAACCTGCCCTAGTACTGGGAGACTTGTATTGTGTGAAACAGGCACATAAATGTTGCTGGTAATGTGAAATTACAGGCTGATCATGTGAAAAGGGGGGAAAATAGTAATAAAGAATTAATTTTTCAGAGGGCCCTTGCCCTTACCAGCCATTTACCTGAAGAAATGGGCACATTGTATTTATCAGAGTACCGCCTCCTGATAGGTCCAACGTTGTGCATGCTGGTGGGAGTGATGACAGAAGGTCCCTGGGTGACAGGAGTGATGGGGGTAGTTGGGGTGGTCGGAGTATGAGGTAAGCTCTGCGGAGAAGCCTCAGATGCAGTCTTTGAAAGCGTGACGCTTGACACCAGATTCAGCTATTGCAAGAGGAAAACGAGGGAAATTTCCTTAGAAATCACAATTCTTGCAAATTAAGCAATCTGAAAACAGGTTGCACGATTTCAACTATATCATTTGGTTTAACACAGAGAGCAGAGCTTGTATACTTGTTTCGGCTTCTGTGGCTTGAACACTTGCTTTCGCTTTAAATGCTGCTGTAACATCTCCATTACGATCCACTAGGATGAAAATGTAATTGTCTAGATTTTTTTTTTTTTTAAAACGTAATTGCAGCAACCATAAATACCGGCAGTCAGGACTTCAGAGAGTGGATTTTTATCATTTTAATAATTTATTTTCGTTCCATTGTTCACAATCTAAAACCCACGCATCTCTTATTTTCACGTTATCATTGTGCATGGCTTCTAATCAATCTTCTTGGACACTTAGTTGAAGGCTTAAAATAAAGACCACATTTTGTTAGAAGTACAGTACAAAGAAATGGAATAGCACTACAGCATTTGAGAATTTCCTGTTCCTCCATTTTAAAAGCAGAGCCTGGAATAGGTTAACTCCAGAATAATTTAATGAATTGCACTACATGAAATACCGCGACCATTAAGCCCAGCAAAAATGACACAGGTTTTTCCTCTCTCCTTGGTGTGGGCTGCACTAGTGCTACCTGCAGAAACCTAAAAGCCTGCAACAACCTGACAGCTAGTCATAAGATGACTGAAAACCATATGCAACTGTTTTTAGTATGTACTTCTATGCATTTTATCAGTGCCCATCTATATCATTTGACCCTTTCCCAGTTGCCCAAGGACCCCTTTGGAAGCAAGATGGGCTGCTCCTGGAGAAATGTTTTAAACAATCAATACAATACCAAACAACTCCATCAGAAATGGGGGGGGAAGCCTCTTTGATTATTTTCTCATTTCTCTCCTTGAGCCTTTATTGTGAACAATATTGTTGTCGATAGAAGAATTTAATCAGGCCAGGATTCCCCCACTTTTCTTCACGATTACTATTTTTCTTTGCCTGATGTCCAGCCTTTCCCAAATGGGGGTGAGGTGCACCAGCCAGACATTCCCCAACCCATCCGATGCTTGTCCACAATGCTCCCTATTAACGTTTGGGTTTGAACGAAAACAGGTAAGATCCTTCACATTAATATCATTAAAAAAATGGAATTTATCCAAAACCAAGTAGGAAAAAATGCTTTTAACATTCCAGCATGAGTATCAATGCAGTAAGCCAATCACCCATAAACAGTGCACAACTGCATGGCAGATAAATTGTTCCCGTTTTTCCCTTTTGAATGCGAAATAGGAAGAGCTCAAGAGTATAAAGCAGTGAAGTGTTGGGGAGATGGAACAGTGTCCACTGCCAGCTCAAGTACTGCTCTGAAGAAATTACTTTATGAAAAACAGACCTGCGAATACCGCCCTCTTTGTGCAGGTGCTCACAAGCTAGAAGGTCTCTCCTTACAATGGAAAACATTTAACACTTCAAGGCAATACAGAATTGCACAAGCCCAGCGGGGTGAAGGAGACCATGAAAGGCGATAAGATACAGGCCGGAGTTTCCTGAAAAAACCCTGCAATGAAGCGAACCAACAAATGCAGCCTGAGGTATATGTGCCAATGTGTTCACCTCCTTGTTGATGTGCTTCAGGTTTTTTTAAAATATTGCTTACACAATAGAAATGTAATGGCCAGCAGAACGGAGCCCATTTGTTGACCGGTTCCATTTAAGAGCGCTGATTAGGAATACACACACTTATGTCCTTCTGTTATCCATCTATCCATCTATTACGTATGACAAAAAGAGCAATAATGATAATAACGGTACGACTGACAGGTCTCACCATGAAATTAAATCTACTGTATTTTATCTCTGCTTCTAAATGGACATTTTACCAGTCCAATAACTGCAAGCAAATCTGCATCAATTTTAAGTGCCCACCTCCAGCACAAGCTCAGTAGATATTTGCTCCCGTTGGAAAGATCACTGATAGCGTTTCATCATTACGGCTCAAACTACTCCACTTCAAAGGAGTTAAGATTTTTCTTCTTCTTTTCTGACTGTTTAAAAACTTAACATTTAATCTGCTTCTACTAGAAAACTGCAAAAAAGAATCGGCAAAGGTCAATGTTCTCTGCTTAAAGGATTTGAATGGAGTTAAATTTCTTTAGGCTTTTCAGCATAGGTAGCAACTAGAAATAAACACAGAAAGGGAGGAAGAGCAAAGAGGGGGGCTTTAACAGGCTTGACAAATGACACTGTGATTCACACCCACTGCTGGGCTGCCACTAATAAGCTACAGAGGAAGCAGCCAATCTCAGCTAATTACCAGATAAAATTGTATTGTAAGGACTCTAATTAGGAGATGCTTATGGAGGTGATCTAATGATTAAACGCTGCATTCGAATGACCCCACCATCAATGTGCGGTGGTGCAAGATGTCACTGGAATATTTTGTAGAAACAGTAATTTTATTTCAAGGAGGGGAGGCAGTAATATTTGTAATAATGGCTATGAGGTAAACTAATTAAAAGACGGTTCCTAAAGGAAGACTGTGGCTTTGAGCAGCTGTGGCCGTTCCAAAACAAAGTGCCAAATCTCAACAGAGGAGCTGCAGTCAAGTGGAAAATTTCTGCCTGACCTCTGCTCTTGCTATTAATTTGCAGGAAAACTAATGACACATATACATATTCCCACAAAATTGTTCTAATTGCTAATTTGCCAAAGGAGCCCAGTTTCCAAATTAAACATGACTGCAGTCTGCGAGGAGGGAAAGAACAAAAAGCTGGAACACTGTGAGTATAGTGTGTTTCACCTCCGACAATCATTTGTACGACTGAACCAACAAGTTAATGAAATGCCGACCTTGTCAATTGCCAGCGAAGTTTTGCTGCTTTAAGTTTTGTTTGATGATAGTATCTCTGATTTTCCAAGGGGTCCGATCCTCGCTAGTTGGGTACACAGTGCCCAAAATATACCATGAGGCGGGGGGGGGCAAGAATAAGGCTCGGGCTGCGCTGCTGAGACTCAACGTGCTGCTATCTATAAAATGTAGACTTAAAAAATTAATTGTGAAGTAGAGCAGAATAACAAATTATGAATGCTGTTGGTTTTGTTGTAATCTTAAAATATTAATTTTAATTGTAAACTATTAAATCTTAATATCATCATCAATTAGGAATGAAAGAGCGGCGAGGCTCTCTCTGTGCTTCTGGCTGCTAAAAGATGATTATGCGGGGGCAAAGATCAGGAAGGGACTGTACTGGGAGGGTTTCTTTTCCTGATGGAAACTCTCCTGAATTTCTCACTGTTTGCACTTTCTATTTAAAAACAAGTTACTATGATTAGAAAAGCTATTCGTGCTGGTACTTGTGCATGACAAGTTTCCCACATACTGGTGTTTTTGATGAGGTATCATCCTTGCTGGGGGGTAATGAATATGAGTCTCCAAGCTGGCTGTCTAATGACTGTTATTGTGTTATTCTCTGTATTACACCGGGGGTCATAATGTGCTAGGTGCTGTACAAATTCACAAGAGAAGAGTCTTAAGCTCAAGGAGTTAAACTAATCAGGAAAAAGGGGGCATCTGCCCCCCCCCCGCCAACACACACAAAAGTATGCTTTTATTCTGTAAATTCAACCAGTAAATTCAATCTGCTGGAGGATTTTTAAGAAGGGTGTCTGCACTATCCCTACCAACCATCGTTTCAGTGTTCAATATCCCATTTAGGATTATTACCCCAGCAGTCTTTCCTGCCTCCCTAACATCTATGAATCATCACCATCATCACCATCATTTTTTACTTTCAAGACCTAGCCTTTTCCTTATTTTACAGGCAATGACTGAGTCATTATTATTTTTATGAATATAAAAATAAAAGCCAGAAAGGTAACACTCCTTTGCTCCATAAACAGGCATTTCTATGACAAGACTCTCCTGTTAGGAGGCAATTTGACTTCTTTTCATGTAAACCTGTTACGTGACTATAATTGCCACAGATACAAAAGCAGAGCTGAATCATTTTCACGAGGAAAAAAAAATAGGCAGTGTCACAAGGGGGGCTGCATCTACTGCTTTAGGTCAGTGGTTCTGGGCTGCTGGTGCTGCCACTCTGATCAAGGTTGGACTTGATGATAAAACTGCACAGTTTCTGGACCTGAATCAGCCTGGTGTGCAGACTGTTTCTTTAGACACCGAAGGCAGAGAGCAGTAAGGCCGCTGGGCCTGGAGAGTTGCGAGATTCTGCGTCTTCCTTCCCTATTGCAGGCTGGACACATGGCTGCATAAGATGTAGAATCTGGCAGGCAGCAATCACTTAGCAGGTGTTGTTATTGGCAGGGATACTAAGGAAACCCAAGTTGAGGAGTGGGACTTAATGAAAAACAGTATATAAAAACAGCTTTTGTGTGTTGTGCTCGAGAATCTCTTTTTATTGCTGCATATCATTACTTTTGCAAACGATAAAGTATAGCTACAGCAGCTAAAATGCTCAGTCATTACCTCAACGGTTAAAAGACGATTCTTTTTGAATACTTTGTTTTTGCAGTTGCTAAAAACAGTATTTCAAAACAATCCTAATTGCTACGGTTAGGGTAAAAGAAAATATGTTTAAAAAAGGGATATCTAATAGTGCATTGCCTTTAAAATGCCAAAACTTTCTTTAAAAGTTTCATGTCATTTGCACAGAAGTGGATTTCTACCAAGTACTCAGGATTACTTGTTGGGCAGAGTGGAGGAAAGAAAAAAAGGGGCATTTTTTTTCCTTCCCAGTTCTTTGATATTTAGATAATACCTCCAAGCAGATCAAGCTCCTGATTCATTCTACGATGCTGACCTCAGACCTGAATGAAAATGCTGTGTGTGAATGGGGTGGGGTGGGGGTGGGGGGCGAGGTTGGGAAGAAGGGACCTTAATAGCAAGAACAGAAAAAATAATTCTTGAGAGACTGTGTTGTTTTGCTTTGCATTGAAAAAAATTCCCTCCTGCACCACTACATCCTGGCTCATTCCCCAAGGATGAATGGATTTGTTTTGAAGTATTTTAATTTCAGAGAATCTTCACACCTTGTAATAATGGGAGTAATTCCATATTTTTCACGAAATAAGCTGCGAGATGCTTCATTTTCCTTCTAAAATGCTCCACAGTTGGGCATCTCAGTTACAAAAATCACGTCAGGCATTTGAGCGTATTTATTATTACTACTATAGCGGTTCACTCTCTCCCCAGTTTCTCCCCCCACACACTCGCACCCCACCATGCTACTTCCTCACTCTCTGCACAATAGTCCTCGCAGCAGTAGGGCCCAGAACAGCATGCCTGCCGAGCAGCACCGATGGAGACTTCTCCACACAACAGCCCTGCATGTACAATTATCTGCCAGCGACTTGGGCCACGATTCAGCAAAGGGCTGAAGAACATGCTGCAGCTTCGTGGACTTCAACAGGACTTCATAGCCTTTGCTGAACGGTGGTCTTGGTGCACGGCAATGGTTACACGCGTGGTCATCCCACTGCACCTTCCAAAACATAAATTATTTCAAGGAGCTGAAGCAATCTACAGACCGATCTGTGTTGCTTAACATGACTAGACCTGACAAGTTCCTGTACATCAGGGTTGGGCTGATGCCTGAATCAATGCTCAGTGCCAAGCACTGGGCTATGAGCTGAATGGTCTAAAAATACGACACACACTGGTGTGATGTAGCTTAACCAGGGTAAGCTCATGCTGTTGACCAGTGGAAAATATAAGCGACAGCCAAAAATGCATTCAGTTAAAAGAGAGATACAGTAATACAGTTCACTTGCCAGTTCTACAATGTAATTATGAACCATTTAAAAACAAACACTAAGATCCTTTAAAATGGAGAAAAAAATATTCTCCATAAATTCTCTATTCCATCATTAAAAAGCGGTGTTTAAAAATCCCAGTTTATTGCTACATTTGAATCGGTAGTGACACTTTCCTTTGAAAATCACAGCTATACCAAAATATATTCATTCTAGCATACACCTTGTATAAGTTAGGTTGGGGGGAAAAATTAATTACTAGATGTAAAGAATACTTTGCACTGCAGTAATGGTCATCAGATCTTTTTACCAAAGTCCTACCCCACTGAGTTGAAAGGACTGGGGTCTTTTTTCACAAGGCAAGCACAATTTCTGCAAAACACTATACTTCGCCATTTTATAATTAATTTTCAAATGCTTCACCTATACATATTTTAATAATTTCTGATTTATCAGATGGTATCTATAATAAAATTTTCTATATTTCAATAAATGAAAAGAAGGCAGTTTCAATCCAACAACAGAGTGTCACACAATATAGGTCTGTCAGGCACCAATTTTTACTTCTAACATGTAAGTTAAAGGATAAGGAATTTATAATGCTGCCTGTGAACGAAACCACTTTTCATACACAAATGTGATCTTTTTTTTTTTTTCAAAGGGTAATACAACAGTACATTTACATAAACTAATCCAAACAATCTATGTATTTGACAATGGCAAACCTCACACAGACTGCCTATTGTTGGTTTACATCTTGGAGTTCTTTATGTTGGCTTGTAACACTGCTCTAGCTGTCAAAGGTTTGACTTGGACTCTAAATAAATGGTTATAGAAGTGCTGTGCAGCGATATTGGACTTCTTTGCAAAAGAAAACCTGCTGTGTATGAATTCAAAAGCTATTAATTTTTCAGTCAAAAATATTCATGCCTATTTCTTTTAATAAAGAAACACTGTGCTGAGCAACTGAGAGATAATGTTGACTAGTGGTACAGAATTTTCAATAGAGCAGTTAAAAATAAATTTAGTAGGAGGTCCCCATCAAAGCTATAATTTTCCAGAATATAAAACATTTTTAATACTAATCAAGACAGCCCTTTTCCCCCATGTTCTTTTTTTTGCTGTTGCTTTCCCCTGTTTATTAGCTGTTTAATAATAATCTTCATAGCGACACCAACTGGTATCTTTGTAGCCTACAACGCCAATGAAAACCTCTTGCCCATCAATACCAAGCATCGATCGGGAGCTCATGAACCGAGCCGTACTTGTCTGCCTGCTGTTACCGCCCTTTATTTTTAATCCCTGTCCTTGAGGAGACCTGCTGCTATGAAAGGCCTCCAGGCACAGCTTTGAGACTCCCCCGTTATTCCACTGTTTTAATTTTTAATCCAACAGGAGCAAGAGAAAGCAAATCTCTTCTCCGTTCGGCTGGGTCTGTATAGCTGAGCCCACGAGGTGCTGAGCGGTGCTTGCTTTCAACGCTAATGTGAACTGGAGAATTGGACAAAGGTTATCTCTAGGTACTGTAAGTCGTTTCCGTTTGTAACAGGTTGCATCCACCGGATCAACCAATTTTAGGAATCTCGGCAGTTTAACTGGAGGGATTTCTAGTGCAACTTTCTCCAAACTCACGGCTGAAATTTCCCATCAAGTTTGACACCTGATCCTATGTTGTTAAACAGCCAGCCGTTTTCTTTCTAGCGTCCTCCCTATCCACTTCTGCCGCCATTTATTTCCAACAACAGAGAAAGGAAGAAATCCTTTTCTAGTAAAAATGGATGCGCAAAGTGTTTAATGATTTTATGTTCTCTATCTCTGTAATGTGTTCTGTTTCAGACATTAATTTTGTCTACCAACTGCATCTTGGCAGGCTACCATATTTGCTGGGTTAATAGTCTGACTCTTTTTTATTTCTATCACCATAAATCACATATATATGGGTGTGTGTTTGCGTTATTTATAGAAAAAAAATCAGTCAAAACAGATAAACCAATACTTTGTCATTATGCTGCATCATTGCATATTGATTAAAATTGCTAGTACTAACTATAGATTGTCAACGCTCAATTAATTTTCACACAATGACTCAGAGCAAAATCAAATAAAGGCAGTGTACCTTTAAATCTTACAAATCTTAAAATCAAGAAGCAAAGCACTCTCTCCATTTTGAATAATCATGTGAAGCTACAAGGAAAAATTTTAGTATTAGGACGCTATTAGACAACAACAGCCAAGATGCAGTTTGGATTGGGGAATGAGGTTATAGATTTGCCTTTGCCAGGTAGTAGTCTTGGTTTGGACGATGAGACCATCTGAACTTACAGATCTCAATGTTTTATTCTGTGTGGTTTGCAAGGCGGATCCCCACTTCTGGGCTTTTACGGAGAGTGAGCCAAGGGAAGGGGGCTTTCGTTCCCAGTCCCCGTGCACTGCATGTACTTTAAAAACTGACACTGGGGGATATTGATTTTTTATCATCATCAAAATGTACATACCGGTGGAGTCTATTCCATCCGAGCCTATGACAGCAGCCCAGCAAAAAGTGAAATATATGCAATTCTTATCTTGGACACTAAAATACACTGGCTCTAACGCCTCTCCCGATCACATGCAGATTTCCCTCACTTGAAGGGACCTACACGTGTGTATGCAAAGGCAGGAAAAGGTCCGGTATGTCAGCTTTAAAATTACTCATTTTTAACAACTCCTTGAAGAAGGGGAAGGAAAAAAAAACCAGAGTTGGCGAAAATTGGTTTACGTGGCAGGGACTATTCTAAGCCAACCAGAGAAGCAATTTTCATCTCTTCACTTTGACAGTCTGTTAAAGTAGGCCACACTTAGTATTATGCTCTGAGGTGGGAAACAGGAAAAGAGGTTGTTGTGAGGCTTTGTTCTCTCTCTGCACAGATCAGTACTTACGGGCTGAGGGGTGGCTTTTGGTTCAGTTGACTTCACATGTAGGTGTGTCATCATCGCTTGCAGGCGCTCTTTGTCTTTTGCAAGCTAAAGGGGGGGGGGAGGGAGAAAAGAAAGAAAAAAAAAAGCCCCGTTACTTTATGAATAAAACCCAGAACTCTGCTTATTCCTAATTAAACAGTTGGCACCACAGCAGAAGACAAAGCAGCCTTCTTTGCTTAGTTGTTTGGAAATGTTATACGGTCGTTCACAAAGTAAAACTAACTCCTGGTGCTGGGTGTCAGTGTTTCCCAAAGGAAAAATGCATTCGCCCTTGAGTGAGGAGTACTAGACCTGCTGGCACCACGAGGTTCAATGTAGCACCCGACAGCTAAAAGACAATAGCGAATCATGGTTATTAACCAATCCCCTCTATTTGCTCAGGAGGCAAAGCAGAAAGCCAGTTACGCGGCTCAGTTGCAAGGCCTTTTTTTTTTTCCTTCTTGCTTTCTGCTCAGTATTGAAAAAGAAATTCAGAAAACAGACTCTGTTTTTGACATCGCATACGACTTCGGTGGTGTGTAAGACAAGCAAAGAGACCGCAGGAAGCATCCTCAGAGAGGCAGAACAGGCAGCTTTCAGCTCTGGAAAGCACCAGCTCTGTCTGGGAGAGAAACAAGCCTTTTCTAAAATCAGCACCTCTCTCCACCCGCCGAGGAAGCCGGGGCAGAAGCAGAAGCCAGGGCAATATTTGTCTGAAAGAGGGGCAGCAATTTAAATTGTATCCTCCCAGCATGCATCTTTAACCAACAGGAGAGGAAAGTGTGACCGTATTAGGAACTATTTTATTAGGGCTCTGTCCCCGTGTGTCGGCTGATTGCCACTCAGACCGAAAGTGGCTCAAAACACATAATGCTACTCCTGTGCTCCTCCTGCTGCGTGAGCCCCCGGAGAATGGCACTTGGTGCGCAAACGGGTGCACTCTCCTTCATGACGACACGCTTCACTTTTCTCAAGTCCCTTAAAATTCCTCCTGAAATCCACATCTGTGTCACTCCTGGCTCCTCGTTTTTACGCTGGCCGGCCTTGGAAATGCACTTGAAACGTAGCGATCAGGCTCTACAGGGCATTTTTACATGTGTCCTGGGACGCGGCTCCGGGCGCTTTAAGTAGTGAGCCGTGCTAATTAAAAGCGCCCGCGCCTTGCGTGTCAGCATCCCCGCGCTGCAAAAGTGGCGGTGGGGTGCTCTGAAGGAAAGCTCCTCAAACGCGTTTTAGTTCAAAGCGCCCCATTGCCATCTTTCCAGCGCGGGGACGCTGATTTACGTGATGCAGAAGGCTGCCAGAGCGGGTCGATTCCCGCGCTCCAGCAGACTCCGTTCGCCGAGTCTGCTCGGACGTGCCAGATTTCCGACGTGTTGCGTGCATACCTACGGGAGCCCTAAGCTTGCTGCCTCTGGAGATGCTGAAAACTTTTGTATGTGCAATGGGGACCGTTCCTGGCTGTGTTTTAAAACAGCATGGAGGTCCCATGAGGGACTGCCATGCAGCTTGTGGGCTCCCAACTAGCCACCGCTCTGCCTGCTTCCCAGGCTCCCCATCTCCTCCAGCTTCTGCTTCTTGCCCCTCTCTGCTGGGTGCAATGGGAGGGTTTGGGGAGAGCATCTGTGCTGCCCTTGCCGCAAAGGGAGAGCGTCAGGCTGTGCACATGGTAGGAAGGAGAGAACCCAGAAGGGCCTCTCCTGTGCTGCATATGGCCTGGAAGTCTGCAGCCCATATGGTACGTGTCCCCCCACAACTGCCCATAAGTAGATAGCTCTATTAAAAAAAAAAACAACAAAAAAACCCCAAAAACTACTAGCAAATTTGGGTGCGATTAACAAACTTGCCCAGCAGAAAGAAGCCTGTTCTATTCAGGCCTTTAAAACTGACAGCTTTCTCGGCTTTTGCATTTTGCTGCAGAAAATCCACATTCCTGGTGCCAAGAGGAGAAATCCACTTGCATTCCAGTGTGAGTTTAAACAACCTGCCCACCTTATCAGTCATCTGTCTCGAGCAGTAAAACTGGGGAAAGCGTATGTAAAAGAAGGCTCAGTCATAAACTCGGATTTGTAATCTTGTAGTTAAGGCTGTGTCAATCTACCCAAGCGGAGGGGCTCTGTGCGTGCCAAAAAAATGTCAAGATGGGTTGAAAGTTGGCACACAAGGTTTCCAAGACAGGAATTGGAGAAAGGAAAAATTGGTGCAACTGTCTCATGTTCTGGAAGTGCAAACCCCAAATCCCGGGGATTTTCACAGGGTGGGGGGCTGGATGGTTCTCAGGATGGGTGCTGAGTCAGTACCGGGTGCTGATCTATAGTGAGCCAGGACTTATCAAATGGCTGCTGGGAGAGTCACAGAAGCCAGACCCTGGCAAGGAAACTCCACGTCCCTGTAAGGCCACGTAACCCTGGCCCAGGCGCTGCGTGCACTGCCCGAGTCGCTTTCTCCCCATGGGGGCTTCCTGCGGTCTCTTTGGGGAAAGTGGGGTTCTAAAAACCTCATAGACATTGACTGATGCAAGACCAACGAATGCTTTTATTTTTTGGAGAGGGGGCTGCTCCCTAGTTTTCTATTCTTAGTAGCTTTATTTGCTGACTGGCTCAGCATCTGAGCTGCCTTCACTGGAGTTGGCACGTGAAACCTCAATTGGGTGACAACCCACTGCAGCACGAATCAAATAAGTGCCCCCTCCTGAAAACCTTCGGCTTGTGACTCAGCAGCAAAGGCAAGGAAAAGGCACGGAGGCACAAGGGGACACACCCTCGCTCTTATCCTCCTGCGCCCGGGCGTCCGCAGGGCACGGTACATTATTTCACCCTGCGCTGGCAGCATCCTTGTTTTTATTGTTTTCAGTCATCATCTGAGCATTTTTTTTTAATGCGGTATTGGGTGGAGGAAGCCTATTTAAAGATTCTCTGGACATTTCAGGCAGACGCACATTAATATTTTGTCATAGTCTAGGAATTCAAACACTCACACACTTAGGCAGGAGTTTAAAGGATGAAAAATGGACGTCTCTCTGTTTCAAAGCAGCGAATGGAATGGAAGTGAAAAATCCTAAGAATTTCTTTACGCCGGTTCCCCTTAGGTCAGGAAGCAAGCCTGATATAAACCCGTACCTCCATTATTACCACCCCACCATCCGGTTACATCATTCAAAAGAAGTCATGAGGTCTTGCTAAGCCAGTGACGTGAGCAAGCTCTCACCACTGTGGCAGTGACTAGGGCTCGAGAGGACTAGAAATGGGGGCCTATTAGTAGTTTTGCAGGAAAATGCCCACGATTGCTAACAGCACCCTTTGCGAAAGGATTGGTATGCACACAAATTAAACGGATGCATGTTACTCAAAAACAGGCCCGTTCTGACTTTTCAAAGCTACTTGCATGTGCTTTCTGTGACCCGGCTGATCTCCTGTGACAGGAGGCAAATGTATTATTGGCTCTATAAAATGCTGCCTAGATCATCCGATGTGCCATGCTGCGCATCTGCTTCTCAGTAGGACCTGCCTAGAGGTGCACTGGCATTTATACAGGGGGCAAGCTCCCATTGCAGAGTTAGACTGGAGCACTAGACTAGACTGGACCAGCATTAGGTTGATCAGTGTAGTGCTGGGGGAAAATATCGACCCCCAACACGCAGACTGAGGGCGCATCTATACCTCTCCTGCACCCTGCGGTAAAGGGCTTTGGAGTGCTATATTGCTCTCACGACTGTGGGTCCAGGATCCCCTTCTTGGACTCCCTCTGAAAGACCCCAATACCTCTGTGTAGTGACCGCCTTCCCCTGTAAGGAAGCATCCAGGTCTCAGGCGCTGCTCACGGTGCAGGTGTCTGTAAGCTCTTCGGGGTACTGCACCCACTCTGGGTCAGATGTAAGGAGCCTTTACAGATGTGGTTGCTCACTAGGATTTATCTGGCCTTTTGGTTTTCAAGCATCCCTGACCCATCCTCTTGCACTTAGCCCTGCCTGTATCAAAGGATGCGGATGCTGCTCTTCTGTTCTCTCCGCAACCCTGCACTCCGCCCCACTCTTTTTGCTTCAGCTGCCCATACGATCCTCTCTGTCTGGCTATAAAATCACATAGGGATTCTTCTCAGTGGCTCATCTAGTGGCTCTTCAAGATGGATCCTATTAGTTCTGCACCAACGTGGGTCAGTAAAAGTGCAAGCTAGCCCTGAGCACGTGCCAAAACAGTGGTTCCCCGGCGTTCCTTTGACAGCTGGTTCCATTTTCCAGTTGCTCCTCTGAAGTTTCATCTGGTATTTATCTTAGGCTTTCATAAGATGCCTCTCACCGTTGTCTTTAAGTGCTGCTTAACTAAAGAGTCTCTTGCCAATTATTACTGTAAACACGTATGTAGTGCTTGATGTTAATTTGGCACTTTAGAAAGTAGATAACGAGACCTCCCCCCCCAGCCTGGGGAGCAGGTTCAAATCTAAAACAAATGTACGTGAAACGCGGGACACGGGAGGAGAAGGAAGGCACAGGAAAGCAGGTAAGGGCAGGGACGCCCTTCCAGGCACGGGTGGCAGGAGACAAGAAAGTGCCAAGAAAAAAGAGATGATAGGAACAGGAAAGCAAGGGGGGATTTGTGTGGTAGGGAGAGGGGAAAGAGGATGAGGAGTCTTGGAAATAAGGACAAGGAGCCTGAGTTTGAGCTGGAAGCATAAAGGGGGATTCGACATGAAACTCCAGCAGCAGCCTTTTGGACACACGGACGGTGAGGGGAAGGGAGGCCAGTCATCAGGTCAGGGCACTTAGTACAAGAGAAGATCAGGATGTGGGGGAGGTTTTTGCTACATCCTCAATCACTACCAGCAATTACTGTTTCTGATCTTCTTTGGAACATCTCTTACATATTTGATGACCGGCCAAAGCTGCCTTTTCTCTTCACTGGAAACGCCCAAGTATCTTCAAGTTTCCCCGTTTCAAGCTATTTTTCAAATGCTAGTGACATGCCGGTTGTTTCCTTCCAAACTCTCTTCCAATAAAATGTAGGCCCCTCAAACAAATCCAGTCCTCCAGCTGCAGCCCAGCTACACAGAGCAGCATGCATCTTACTTGCCTATACCCCCTCACTCTCCTTCCTATGCCCCCAGCCACCCACATCTCTCTCTGCAAACCCCTTCCTCAGTTCCACCAAATGATTCATAGCTGTCCTCTCCAGATCATCAGGATCTCGCTTGGCAGGAAAGACTGCTGGGGTCAGATGACCCCAGCAAGGTGAGCATCCAGGTGTTTTTTTGAAGATCTCCAGAATAGGTGACTGTACTATTTCTGGGGGGAGTCTATTCCAGACCTTGGACACTTGAGTTGTAAAGAAGTTTTTCCTTATGTCTAATCTAAAGCAGTCTCCCTGGGGAGCCCTGGTGAACAGATGTTTTCCCAGTCCCTAATATGCACCCTTTATATATTGATAGGCTGCCACCAAGTCCCCTCTGAGTCTTCTCATCTCCAGGCTAAGCAGACCCCTGCCTCTCATGATATGACCTGCTCCTATCTCTCATCATATGATCTGCTCTCCATACCTCTAACCATATGCGCAGCCCTCCTTTGGACTCTCTCAAGCTTCCCCACATCCTTCCTGAAGTGCGGTGCCCAGAACTGAATGCAGTACTCCAGCTGCAGCCTTGCCAAGGCCAAGTATAGCAGGAGCATGACGTCTTTAGCTTTGTCTGAGATGCATCAGTAGATGTATCCCAGTGTTTTGTTTGCTTTGCCAGCTACACCATTGCACTGGTGGCTCATGTTCACTGCATCAAGACTCCCATCATGTCACCATGACTTCAGTAAGGAGAAATACCAGGCGGCAATTACTCTACTTGTGGTATTTCAAATGTGTTTATAACAGAAGTACTGATAGGCCAGAGATTCACAGCCTTCCTGCCCGCTGGTATTTATGACGGGATGCCTGACATCGCTTACCCTGAATATGAAATAAAACGAAACTTTTATTCATCAGCATTCGCACTTTGACAGAGTTCTGTGCAAGATGAACAAAAACTAAAGAAAACCCAATGGAGCTACATGGGGCACTTTGTGTTTCAAACCGAATCAATGCACAGCCCTCAGCTGTACAATTACTTCCAAGACAAATAATTTAAAGCAACAGCGCTATGTCAAGGAATTGAGCAGAGTCAGCCAGAAATGTGTGAGATGACGTTTCTTGCGTTCTCAAGAAACTTCATTGAAAAGGGACTGCATGACATGAAACCGCAGTACTTTAGGATGCTAAGGAGTTTGCAGAAGTGGCTCTGGGCTCCGCTTTGGCTGTCACAGGCTGCATCTATTTCTCTTCCCTCTTGTGATCGCCAGTGTCAAAAGAGCTGAGCAAACGGCCAGTTGGTTGGAACATCTCTGGCTCCTGCTCTCCACAGAAATCACAAAAGGATGTCTCTATACCATGCAACACCTCTCCTCCCTCCTGGAAGGCACATCTGGTGTGTGGAGGGGGGAAGAAACACATCACATCGATCCAGCACCTGTCCAAGAGGGAGCCAAGAGACGACTTTCCATCAAATGGCATTTGACAGCACGAGAAATCAAAGGTGGCCCACTGCCTTGGCTATGCATGAATAACTTTCCATTAAAGCAGGACAAATTTGCAGTTGGACTCCGTCACAGACAATACGATACACTGCTGCAAGTCATGTGCAGAATTCGGCCTTTGCCAGGGTGCCGCACCATGATCAGTATGTAGTGCTCGACCATCCCACTGGATAACAAAGAGGCTCGCTAGCTCTTTGAGTACCACTGGGTAAAGAGAGGCCTTTCTTACCTAGATCACAGAACGCAAATCTACTAGTATAAAGACTGAGCTGTGTAAACTGGGTAGCTGCTTTTAGTCCAAGTGCCCAATTTCTTGGTGGGCCAGGTGTCTACCCCATGAAACTTTTTAGTGCAAATGGCACTCTTGGGCAAACCCAGAAGACTCCTACTGAGTAGGGAAATCCTCTGGCTACAGAGCCCGTCACACTCTTGTGCCACCCCTCCTTTTTAAAATCTCTAACCACTACGCATACCTGCTCTGTATAGCTCTCTCTTCATGCAGCTTTGCAAAATGCCAAGCTCTGACCTGAGCTCTGACGATAATGCAATTAAGTGGATAGGGAGCAGGTTATTGCCACTGCCTCATCCAAAGACCATTGATTTTCCTTGCCTCTGTTTTAGTCTTCCAGTAAGAAAGTGCAAATTCACAACCAATGAGATACCAATATATCATAATTTGGGACAGTAAAAAATATGGCTAATGAGTGTACTATCATGTTAATACGGATGCATCTCATGGCATGGACTATATCCTTCTCTTACCACTTCTCTCATCATTAGCCCTGAGTTTCAGTTAGTACTATGAAACACCACACCATCCTTCATAATATTTTCAAGGAATCACAATGCACTGGCAATGAAAACACATCTCTGCTGTGCTCAGCTCCTCTCACAGAGCTTCATTCTGCCATCCCCATGCATGCAATTCCCACTGGCTACAGGAGCACAGGAATGAGCCCATTATGTTTTTCAACCTCACTGCAACCCAATCCTCGGTTTACCTCCACCTCAATTGTTATTGCATCTTGGTGAAAGATTATCTTATATTTCAGTCCACCAGCAGGGTTGTTTTGCTTTTTTGTTTTTTTTTTAAATTCCCAAGAAACTTGTTCAAATAACAGACCATTCCTCCTAACAATTTCTGCAAGACACTGATATTTTACGACTAGTTTGATTTTTTATAAAACTTATATTAAAATATTCTGTACTGCTTTGGCTAATAGTGAAAGAGTGTCATGACTGCAGTGTTACCGAAAATAAAATTTTGGACATATCTATGAAAGAAAAAAAGGCTAATTTGTAAGGCAAGAAGATAAAAAGGATTTTAAAAAAATGGTTATCTTGAAAAAGTAACAACAAAAAGTTTAAGTGTGTTTTTGCTGATTTTTGTCTATAACTATTTGAAGCTATAAATGACTTAACTCAGTAAAATTCCAAATGTAATTATCTTCTGTACTTAGCCCTGGGCTTTCCATATATCTCTAAATTGCTGTCTTGCATACAAAATAGGTTTTTCAATAGCTGGTAACTATATAATGTACAACATTGTTTTAATTTCCCCTCTTTTGCTAACCTCTTGCCTACACAGAGACACAGACACACAGTCAAAGTCATCCAGCTAGAGCAGGGAAGCACAGGGAGATTATAAAGAACTCAAAAGCATTTTGAAAGACAGTGACAGAAATGGGTCACAACGATGCAATTGCACATTTCAATAAACTCCAAATTTACCCTTTTTTTGGACTTTCAAAAACTCATTTGCTCCACGTGGCAAAAACAAGCCTTAAACGAGAGGCCACCAAACAAGTCAGGTTAGGCAGTGTTTCCAAGTGAACAGTGATCATTTCCCCCATGCCAACGACTCGAAACCATTGGGAACACGTTCCATTCTCCCCTGGCCGCCCTCCTCTCCCACCCCAATTTGAGGATAAAAAGCAACAGACACAAACTGATGGATTCCCAACCAGTCGGCTTGTTTAAGCTTCCTATTTCTTTTCAAGTTACGGTTTACAAAAGAGGAAATGAAGCTGCAGTTTCTTTCGACAGTTCTTAAAACTACTACAAGGAAGTTTTGAAAGCCGGTTTTCAATCATAGTGGGAAAAGCAGAACTCATTTTTATGGCTGTTGAAAATTGAATTTGATTAACACTGAGGTAATATTAAAATAAATTTCATTTTACCTGTAGCTCTAACTGCTGTACAACCTGCATTTGTACTCTACATTGGGCTGTACTTCTATCATCCAGCGCATGCTCGCTGTTGAGATGT